GGGATTAAAAAATTTTGGTATATGCAACATCGATGAACAATGTGTAGGATCTAAGAAATCGTATATAGAATCATGTTCATAACACTGCTGGTATTTTTGAAGGTGAGGTCAGTCATGAGAAAAAAACTAGAGGCATTTGTTAATGATAATGAACGATTTGTTTGTAGTCGTTCTTTTTCTTGTAATTTGTTCAAAAATGGCTATTCCTATAACAATTTTAAAAGGGTAAAAATGATCGATTTTTAAATAAAACTGGCTGGATTTGCCTGCGAAACTTGAAAATATCAGTGGCGTACAATTTTTTTCTCAATAAATACACTGTTGTGTAGGTATCCTTGCCTACACCAATGGCAGTATAAAAAATATTTGATGAGTCGGAAATTAAGCTTTATAAAAGAACTTCTCTGTATACACTTTAAAAAATCAGTAACTAATCTGCATACACGCTGTAGGTTCGCAAATATTCTAGCCAACGAGCCCACACATTCCGCGCATTCCTTTCACTATGCATCTATAAATTCATCAAATTCCTGATCCTCGGACGTATACACTCATACAATGTCTATGCCTAGATCCATTCTGCTTTAAATCAATCAGCTTTTGTTGGAACATTGCGAATCTTTCATGAAATATGTAAATTCGTTGTAATAAACCGATAGTTAAAAGTTACAATTAACGTACCTATAAGTGCTTTAGAAAAATGTTGTCTTTCAAGCCGCTGTACAGAAGTTTTCGTTACCCGAGTCTATTGTGGGATTCTTTGCATTCTGAAGCTGTGGGCGATGCCCCAGATAGTAAGAAATAGTTGTCGCCTATTAGGAATTCAACACCGGTCTCTGTGAAACCACGAACACGGCACGTTCTAGGACATTTCCAGAGATTTAGTGACCGCTATAGTAAAGCTATTCCTGATATTTTACCGCCCGATAGCCCTTGGTAATGAAACCACAACATAGAAAACGCAGAAATAATAAACTTTCCCAATAACGGAATGTAATTTTGGAAAACTCATTTTAATTCTGAATAAACACGACATGGAAATATTTATAGTGGCGGTGTATCCAAGTCGCAATTTTTAAATAATGCTCGGAAAATTGTTAAAAAAGGATAATAACAAAGGCAGAAAAATAAGGTCAAAACCCAAGAGACCCATGTAACATTTCCGAAGGAATTCGATCATGTGAATTCATGACTTTTTTATGAATTTCGGAGGAAAGTGAATTTTTTGGGTAAAAACTATCCCAAATATGGGTCAAAATTAATTTTCTCCGAAATTTTGTTGAAATATTTCTCTGAAAATCCATATTTGGGCCAGTTTTCACCCAACTAGTGGATTTTCTGAGAAACATCGAGGTTGAGATTAGCTTGGAGAACTTGGAACATCTTCTTGAAATATGGAATAAACTGAATGAAAAAACACTCGTTTTGAGCCCAATATACCCCAAACTAAATTAATTATGAACATAGTTTATTTCCATATAAAAGAAGTTTTACGGCTTCTAAATTTGTTTTTTTATTAAATATTAATCAAACCTTTTGTAAAACTAGTATTAGGTATAAATAGTAGAATATAAAGTTGTTGTTATTTATAACGTAATAATAAATTACTAAAATTATTTTAGAGGTGCATTAATTTCTTGGAATAGTGTAGTTTTGATGATCAATAAAATTGAATAAAATGAGTATTGCGAGTATGACAACAGCGCAGCGCAATGACACTGGTATGCTGTTAGCAAAACGATAAGTTGGTGTTTGACACTTTTGACATTCTTGCCTGTCACTGAATAAGCGAAAATTTTATTCTAAAGTATAATACAAATATTGAAAATGATGGTAGACATATTGACTACATGCTGTAGTTTATCTTATGTGTGCCTTTAAAAATGACTATTTCAAATTTCCATTAGAAGGTACCTATACTATTTTTTTAGTTCTTAAATTATAATTATTTGTATGACGAGAGGTTTAGATATTTTTATTACATATTTTTCAAATTCATATTTGACTATTTTAAAGTTCATACTAAAATTATTATTTTGTTTATTGTTGTTTATTTCTACTCTTCATCTAATAAAAATAAAGCTGTAAAACAATAACTTCTTTAAATTATCTAAATTTATTTATTAATTTTCACCATATCCCTGGATTTTTTGTCATTCACTATAAAAAAAAATCTGACGCGCGTACGCCAGCTGTCCTAGAATCGTCGCATTGTTGCCAAGTTATAAAATTCCACAATATTATAACTCGACACAATTCAAAAACGTATAATATTGCGCCCATGTTATATAGGTTTTTATTCATGTGACTCGTGCTGAGGTAATGGCAGTCATACTTCTGTACACTGTATAGGGAAAATAAATATTTATATACGGTGGCTTAAAAAAGTCCATAATTAATGCACCAGCACTTCTATCGATTTAAAGGCATGCGAAAATAAATAGGCCTCATTCCACCTACTTCCGGTTTCATTTTGCTTTCCTCGAAACGTATGGCTTCATGTCAAAGTTAAAATCGAGGCGATTTTTACGGATAACCGAGAATGATGTGTCGTACCCGGATCATAATTAGAACCGCTCCCAGTCACGTTATCCTCTAAGGTCGACTCGACCAGGAAGTGTAGGCTAAGCAGGGGCCTCGTCTAAAAATATCCGGCCGGGTTTGGGTCTTCTCCTGTTACATTTTTTTAAAGCTGCTATCCGATGCCTGCGGATTCATTGGCTAAATTTATTACAATGTTTTAATTGAAAAATGTATTTAGAAGAGTGTAATGTAACGTATTGCTGGTTTAATGTACGAAAACATACCTTTTTTTAATAACAAAATGCCTTTAGAAATCATCAGTAATAACTGACAGTAATAAACATACTTTTAAAGTATAAAATAATGTATTCTGCAACAAATGGAACTATTTCATAGTAATAGTAATAATATTAATGTTTTATTGACTAACAGTACAATTTGATAATGGTATTTGATGAAGTAATGAAAATATTACATAGTTATCTTTTGACTGCTGTAAAAGGGATACTTAATCCAGTCTCGAACGTTTTATAGTATTTTTTATTAAAAAGAAGTTTTGTTTCAAATGACACACCTAAATCTTTACACGAATTTATTGTAAAAAAATGGTTCTTGTTTAGGTAACAGTGATTTTTTATGACGTGACAAATTGTGTTCCATAAATAAGACTTATCAGTAAAACCATCGAAAATTCCCCATGCTGCTTATCTAACAATCATTTTCGTGTTTTCGTGTTTTCCAGGGAAATGCTTTCCGAATCATTTATACACGAATCCGGCCCACAAACGCCAAACAGTGGGTCGGTAAAAAAAGGTTTGTTAACATGTTGAACTCCTAGTTCGGGATCTAATCTAGAAAACCATTAATCTTGTAGAATGTGTTAAACTAAGTTTTCTCCGATTTAGCCGAACTTAGTTCCTCATCAATCATAATTTTTCATTACAATATCGTAAAAAATCCATCTATTTCCCGTGGAGGTCGCGACGACAAATGTTTAATTAATCACATGTTAATTAATTAAATATTCATCAATTGTCGGGCGGGTATTAGGGAGGCCACAAAGAAAAGGTTTCGGCAAGCGGGCCCGACGAGCGGTAAGCTCCAAAGTGAGCACGGGGAGTAAAACAGGGCCAAATTCTCCGGACCCCGCCCACAGGCCGCCTAATTCTATTATATTGCTTTGCTATTATGTATTTAACAGGAGTTGATTAATAGCGAAATTTGACTGTAGATAGGGCTCAAAAACGATATTGCAGCAAAAACTGAAATCTGAGCTTTTACCTAATCCTGGGAACAACAAAAAGTTTGTCGGTGTTCGATTGCGGCAGCAGCAAACACGCTTTTATAAGCCTAAAATACAGTAAACAGGATTAAAATTTATTCTGAAGTGGATTTAAATTTAATTCAACTGGAAAGTTCTTAATACTAAAAACTAAGTATCTAAGGTCTAAACTATCTTGCTCATATGTGTCATACCTTTTACTCTTGTGATGTATTTTCATCTGTGGCTTGTTAACAATGTTGCTCTGTTCTCGAGCGGTTCGATGGATTGAATCGAAAATTTGAAACGTGCGTGAAAATTTCTATGCTCTCTCTCTCTCTGCTTCGCTCACATAGCTTCTCACTCTTCTGAGTCTTCTTATTCTTTCTTTTCCTTCTGGATGTCGTTCATCGTGCCACAGGACTGTGAAACAGCATCTCTCTACACCATTTCGAGTTGGGTATTCAAAAGTGCCGCGATTTTTGATATGGTTCTTGTAATCTTTTTTTAATGTTCTTTTATATGCTGATAAAATTTCTATTGTTGCTTGCCGTGTTTGATATTCCTGAAAGTGTTTTATATAACTTCTATAGTTTTTACTAATGCCTTTTGTTCAACTTTCAAGTTAGACCGTATTAAATTTGTATTATATATATTACAGGGTGTCCCTGAAGAATTTGTACCAGCAAGCCACTATAGATTACTGAGACCCCAATAAGATTGTTCAAACCAAGTCACTTATACATGAAAGTTAAAGCCTACTGAGATGTAATAAATACCGCGAAAGGTTTTTCCATATATCTTTGACCGTATTTTTTAAGCTGCCAAAGTAGTACTCTTAGGGAGCAGTTTAAGAAATATGTTGATTATTTTTTCCTCTTTTTTATGTAAGAAAATAGAACTGTTGAAAAAGTTAAAAATTAAAACTCTCTTAAATCTGTACGAGTATGAAAATGACAGATTTTTAACAAAATTTATAGATTGGATTAGATTAGATTCTTACTTGAAATTTTAAACGATAGTCATGGATAAACTCTAAAACAACTTTTATAGTGTTTTTCTTTTTTTCCGATGCAAAATTTTTCCGCATATTTTGAACCTCCAAGTACACAAGAATTTTCCAATCGTTGATCTTTTAGTAACGCAATTCTTTTCTTTTCTAGTGACCAAGTTCATCCGGATTGGGATCGCCGATAAGAATGACAATCCTCCGTACTTCGACAAGGCTCTATACGAGGCGGAAGTCGACGAAAATGAGGATATCCAACACACCGTCCTCACTGTCACCGCCAAAGATCACGATGAATGTAAGTACCCCTTATTCGTTATTTATTGCATCCGGAAAAAGGATATAAATAATATACCTTGCGAGTGCTTATATATGAGATTTTCTGATAAGCCGCGACGCGGCGGAAATACATATGTGGGAAAAACCCCCCGACGGCTGAAGACGCATTCACGCGGGTGTGAATGAGATTCGCACTCGGGAAAAATAAACGCGATTAAATTAGGGAGGACGCGATGGCTGGCTGCGGGTGATCTCGAGATGTCCCAAGCCCTCGAGCTTACCGCAACACCTGTGATGTATTGCGTTGGTGAATGGAAAAGCAAAAGACTAAAATTGGAAACCTTGTCGAAAAAAGCAGTATTTTCCATTTATTAAAAAGGATCAGTGAGGGAGAGAAAGCAAGAGATTAAACCATTGGAGAGGAATTGAGTACAACGTTATATAACTACATACTTCACTATCTGTTTTTACCACATCCTTTTCTTTTTCTAAATACGGCTTTAGCATGTAAACCACATAAGTTGTGAAATAGGCGATATGCGCTTCGTTTAAGGCATCGCTACCAGCAGTACGAAGAACATTATCCAGATCGCGTTATCCCGTATCGTACGATGTTTGGTTATTTACATCAGCTACTAGTAAAACCGGGGTTTTAAAAAATATACTGTTGAAAATGAGGACCCACAAATGCTTAATGAAATCGCAGATAATCCAACAGCAAGCTCTAAGGAGACTGGTCAGACATTAAATTTTGGCACCTCAGCAATGTGGAGGGTTCTTTAAAATTATCAGCACTTTTACCCGATGATTTTACAAGTAGGATGGGTCTGTGTCCATGGATACAAGAAGGAATAAGGCGTCCCCCTGAATTTTTTGCACAAATACAGATAAGGCCATCAATTTCTCTAGATATGACATAATGAATTTTTATAGCAACTCACATGCAATATCAGAAAGCCATAATCAGTATCAGTTTTCCCTTACTACGTGGATGGCAATTATTTCTTTTTTCAAGCAGGTTGATTAGAAAAAATTGTGGCAGGTTTTTTTGAAGAGGATTTGCCAACTCTTGAAGTAGTCCCTATTTTGTTAAAGCAACAATCTTGTATGCAAACGGTACTCCAACCCATTTCAGTTTAATTGCTCGGCAGGATTTAGATGTTGCATCTATACAAATAGTTGTATAGATAGAAGAGAAGCACAGGCTTGGCCTCCATAGTCCCAAACTTACACCTCGATTTCTTTCTCTGGAGATATCTAAAATAATTTGGTTATACGACTTCAACGACATTAAAATCACTCTGATCGGACTACCCCTGTGCCCAGTGATCGCGACCGAAATTTTGTTACACTTTGAAAGTTTATATCCTCTAATCACTATCATCTAGCGTTACACTACCGATTCCTTAAAAATTTCCAATGTTAGTAATTAAAGAAGTCTGTCTTTAAACATAAATACATTAAAACTAAATGTTTTCACATATATTTTGATAAAAAAAAATCACGATTTATTTTATTAGAAAAATTGATATTAATGTAAGGGATTATTATTTCCCATATAATAGGAATTATATGGGAAATACTTATTAACTCTTAAATCAATACTGATATGGGCTATTACCAATTATTAGAAACTCTAACAAACAATACACAGGTCCATTCGTCTTTTAGGGTCTAGTTGCAAACTAAAAAAAATAACTATGATACTATGACTTTCAAAAGTCCTCTTAACCCTATTTGAATTATTTTAGAAATTCTGACAACGGTGAGATGGTTACTCAAGCCTATATTTATTAAAATCTAGTAAGTTATTTCCATATGATTCATACTTTTCATCGTACAAACTGGCTTTTGAGTGCCATTGTCTCCTAAACGGTTCATTTTTCAGGCTTCCGGTCTGTTGTTTTCATGAAAATGTTCAGGCTTTAAAATAAAAATAGCACCATACCAAGGGTAACTCAAAAAAATAAAAGAAAATAAAAAAGTGATTTAAATGCGAAAGGACTTTTATATCGATGTGATCTCAAAAAGAACGATAAAAAAATAAAACACCAAAATTTTGATGTTTTGCATAAGAGCGATGAATTTTAGGGTTTTATATGTGAAAACTGCATAACAAACTAGTTTTCATTTCATTTGTAAATTTTTTATGAGAACAAGCAAAATGTTTGTATTTTAACAGCTATTCTAAATTTTTAAAATTTCAATTTTCATGATACACACGAACAATATACTTAATTACTATTTCATTTCGGTGATAACAGAGTTTTCGTTGCTATTCACAAGCGTAAAACTAAATGAATAAAATATCATATAATTTTTATGTATTTAATCTATATTTAAATTGATTTCAATTTATCTAAATACACTTCAACCTGTCCCAGTTTTATTTACATCATTTTAAATTATTAAAATATATATTTACTAATCAACGTTAATCTTCAGTTATTACAAAATTGGAATAATATAGTATAAAATATTTAAATTAAATTTCCTACCCACAGTCCGTATTAATTAATTCTCTGATGAAATGAATTTGCAAAGTTTTAAACGCGGTTTATCTGCCATTAATAAAACTCTTCCGCTGCTAGGTGCGTCCAATGTACGTCAGCACAGAAACGAAAAAATCATGTGCATGTTTCATTAAAATCGAAAACCGAACACGATATTAAAAATTTAAAACATCATTTTTACCCGCAAATAGCCGTTTTTTTAGCCATATTTGTGCGGATCGCATAATAACAATAGTAAGCTGAATGTTTAACCAAATAGTAATCGGTATTGTTTGTAAATGTCAAACTAACTGTACTTTCCATTGTTTTGTCATTTTCTCGATATAAATCTGCAAAATAGATCTGTATGCCATAAGCAATATTGTTGCTAGCCATTTATTTACAATCCTATAATGTAATAAGACCTAGAGATCCAGAATGATTGATGGCTACTTATAAATATTTTGCGTGCCGCTCCTTATTTTGTTCACTCTTCGTAGTTGGCAACATTGACAGTAATTTACTTCGTTCAGTGGCGGACTAGGGCAGTGGCAATAGGATCACATATTCATTTTAATCACAAAAATACAACACAAACAGCAGAATGTTGGCATTAATTAATTTGAGGGGTTTATGGGTTTATTAATTTGTTAAAGGAATGTATTTAATAAAAATGAATGAAATATTATTATTATTATTAACCTCAAAACTAACATAAGAATAAATGTTTAACAAATATTTATCTACCTTGTTTTTTATGCTAATTTCAAAGCAAGCACACACGGGAAGCACACGGCGTCTCTAAAGTGACTGATCGTGTCGGTTGGAAATCTAAGAAAACGGAAAGTAATTTTGATCAAATAGAGGTAAATCTTTGGTAACATTTACGTATGACGTCAGCTTCAATCATTCTGAAACGCTCGTATAATAATAACTTTCCAAAGACACTTCGTAACGTTATTTCTAGTTTATTTTGTTTTCAAAGTGGCACTAAGATATGACTTGAGCATCACAGAAATCAAAAGCAAGGCAAAAGCGCTACTAAATTTCATTATGTACAAGATTTGTGTACCTAACTGTTGAATAGTCGGCTACATTATAAATAAAACATAATACACAATCTACAACACTAAAATATGAGTGCAAACGAGTAAAACATGAAGAGTCGTAGCCATACTACAACTACAAGTATTTCCTGAGAAGTAATTACGCCAGTAATTATCTTTAAATCCGTAGTCAGCTAAAGCGAGGCTTTATCTTTGGAGGAAATACTCGTTGCAATGCAGGTTGTTTAGTCGTAAAAGGGAGATTTATGATTGTTTTTATCTTAAATTACAAAAAAGTCACTTCCCCTGCATCGGCTTCCTTTAATAACGTTGTTGCTACAGTAGCATCAATCAGATCTTAATTAAAAAGTAAGAACTTTCCGTCGTTTTCTCTGAATTCCTGGTCTTTGATGACCCTTTTATTTTGAGCGTTTGTAATTACGAGATTAAAATTACTTTTAGGCAGTAACTAAATATTCTCCGTGTTAAAAAAAGAAACAGGTAAACATACAGAGTGCCCGGTAAATTTTTTGAGGAAACTCAAACTTCTCCCCATACCACCTTTTATGTGAAATTTTAGCGTAGGTTATTACAGATAAGTGACCATGATTTGATCTTAAAACCGGTTTTTTACTGTCACAAGGCACCAAGATTAGCCCCATCACATATTTTTTCAAAATTTTGACAGATGTCATACTGAACATTTTTCTTTGAAAAAGATACTCTCCATTTATTTTGATAAAATAAACAAGTTTCGAAATTTATTTCTAATCTGTCTATTTGTTGGTTTTTTATTTTTATTTGTGCTATTTCCCAAGTTGATTTTGTAATTATTTAATTCTTCAAATTAACTCCCCCTTTTTTATTTTGTATTTATTTTTTTCCACATTTACAGTTATTACAACAGAATCTGTTTATCTGTATTTACAATTGGTTAATAGCAATAGTGACCTAATAGTTTTTCCTTTTTTTGTTATTGGATTTCATAATCATTGAAAACTAGATACTTCTTTCCAACTTATTAATATATTTGTACAAAGTGAAATAGATATTTGTGTTTCTGAGGAGGAGAAGATAGGACAGATTTAATTACAGGGAATTCTATGTCTGTTTTAGCGATCTTCTAATATAAACTCTGCTCAATGTGATTCCACAGGATGACATGTTGCAAGTTTCCTATTTGCTATTTGATTAAATACACAGTATGGGGTTTCGGCTAATCTTATTCTGTGTATATGTTTGAGGTATAAGCTTGATTTGATCTAATTCCAGGCATTGTTTTAATCAATCGACGGTTTGATACAGTTCAATGCCATTTTTCTTTTGGGATTTGTCGTTCTAATTGTTTGTAATTTTTCCCTGTTCGACTCTCTTCACATTTTTTCCCCATTGTTTGTTTTCAATTAAGGATTGCTTGTCTATCACAAACATATAATCGATTATTTACAGTTGTGCAGTCTAATTGACAAACTCCCACAAGT